CCGGTAAATGTGGTGGGTTTCAGATCTTGGAATTGTTTTATTGTAACCGGCTCTTCTCGCCTTCCGGCATCCCGTTATTAATGTTGGTCTGCAATAAGGCTTGGAAAAAGCTAATAATCGGTCTTTCCATTATTTTTTCCATCGATTCAGTGCCACTGACTGATGACTCGCTTCCGTTACCATTATTGGCCATTCTACAAAGTAATAAATGAGACATTACATTCATAACGCAGCATATATATATATATATATATATTGCATATTTAAAATATCAACTTTACTATTTTTGCAAACATAATATTACATCTTTGTTCCAAACACCAAAAATTGTGTTAGTGTCTCATCCCTGTGATACAAAAACAAAAGAGGGATCAGAACTTATCATGGTTAGCTTACAAAAAGTTTTCTTCTACCAAATCTAGAGTGGTGTGTCAAACGAGTCAAACAACCACGGGAAGTAGTGTTGCACAAAAAGCTCAAATTCCCATCACAACTGTACCACACCAAAACACATCCACGCTGCTTGGACTGTGTAAATGGGGACGGATTGTATGTATCCCCAAAACGCTCGATCAACAATCCAACCAGGTATCTCGATGTATGATAAGTCATTACTAAAGTCAACATTTTGAATATTAATAATTTCCAACGGGTTAGGGACATTGGTGAAGATGTAATCCTCGGGGTACACATTTCCGCTTCTTGCAACAAAATCTAGGGGCAAAAAGCCAATGATGTAGTGCGAGCAATCATATCCTGGGGCAAGGCCGAGGACATGGATGGGTTCGAGAAAGTGCCTGCACGTGTAGGCACGGCTCTTCCTCCACTGTAAGTGTGGTACATCAGTCGAATCAGCCTGTATATATTGACCGGACTATCAATTGGGCAAAGGCTAGATGTAGTCTCCTAATTATATCCTCCAAGTCACCCCATCCTTCCAATGAGGCAGGGGCGTGGTACTCTACTAAGATTTCCTCCAAATTAAAAGCCCCGAGCTCCTCCCAAAATGCCTCATTAAGGATAACTTAGGACATTCCTACATCACCAAAATCAGTCAAAGTACAAACGTGAGATTTTAAATAAAAGGGCTAATGTCGCAGGTAAATACTCATTTCTTAGTTTACTATTTATTTAGTTTTTTGTTTTTTTTTTTTAAACCACTGCTTTGATACCACATTTGTCATGACCCAATCCTAGGGGCTTAATCGCAACTTACTAAATAATTTCTAATCGTAACAAATTAAGTCGCGCAGACGAAGGCAAAATAGAAGTAAGAAAATAATCAAACAGAAAATTAACTTCATTCGACTATTTTGATAAAAGAAAGAACATCTATAGGGCTTTTATTTATTTATTTTATTCAGTGACCGGCCCTTAATAAAAAACAAAAAGAAAAAAATGAAAGAAAAACAAAATAACGGATTAGGATCAAATTCTTATATGAGTTCCACTATATGAGGTTACGGGTCTTCTTTACATCTCATCACCTGAAAGGGTAACAGCTATAAGCACACAATAGAATGAGAAATATTATGCCAAGAGTATAGGGGCGCAAAATAACCATGAATAGTTATTCAAGCTAAAACGGTAAAACAAATCATTTAAAGTGGCAGAAACTGAAATATATAAATTATATAAATAACCATAACCACGGTACAGAACAGAGGTCACATGAGTGATAGTCAGAATAGAGGTGAATGGATCCATAACAAATAGAGGACCACAAAGTGACCAAACAGAGGCCAATGGTTATTTAAGTCCCCTAAGGCATGGAACTCCCGTGATGGTACTTACAAAACATAATTGTTTATAAAATCATTGTCAAATAATTTCTAAAATTTAAACAAACAGATCCATGGGTTTCAATTCAAGCAAATAGAGTTCATAAAATAATTAACATAATTGAAATATAAATATAAGTTATAAAACATAAGTTGTGTAAAATAAATTATAATAATTCAAAACATACGTGAAATATATTATGATAACTTAAAATATAATATAACTCACTTAAATATTGATCCTCAACCTTTTCCTACTTTATTTTTTCCTTTTTATTTTATTTTTCTTTTGTTTCCATTGGCTACCCACAACTCCCTTTTATACCTGAGCTCTAAGCAGGTGCCTCACCCTATAATTATATTGCTACATGATGATTCACTACCTATACTACTTAGGCCTAACAGGTGGTTCACCTCCTAATTTGCCAGCAAACTTGGCCACCTTTCACTATATTCTCCTTCTTGTCCCTTTTTTTTGTCATAATTCTGTAATTGCGGGTTTTGGCCCCTAAAGAATATATTAATCACGTTTTTAACAAATTAGATTATATCTTAACATGTATAGCCATGTAATTATATATATATATATATATATTGTCATTATTATTATTACCCTTATTGTTATTATTTATTATTTTTTTTAATTTTTAGAATAACGTGATGTTAATTAAATATTTGGGATGTCACAATTTTAGTTGCCCAATTAGTCGAGTATACTTGCCGACTAAAATTTATTTGGTCTCTAATTTACAGCTTTTGGCTACTAAAAATTTATTAGTCGCCAAAGGTAACCTTTTGGCGACTAAAATATTAGTCGCCGAAAGTTTCTACATAAAAATGAATTCAACTATTGGCGACTAAAACTTTTAGTCGCCGAAGGATGCCATGTTCTTTCGTGACTAAATTATTTAGTCGGCAATAGTTTCTTCCCTCAATATTTGGTCGCCAAAAGTCTTTTGTTTCATTTTTTACTGCTAAATATCCAGTCACCAAAAACCTTTCCTTGCATTTTTGGCTACCAAAATATTTAGTTGCCAAAAACTTTATATATTTTTTTTAAATTAATTTCTCGACCACCTATATTTATTCCATTATTAGTGCAGCCTATACCCTATATATAAACAAAATAATCCTTGAATACTTATTATATTAGCAACCATTCCACAACATACACGTATTTCACTTTCAACCATCCAAAAAATTCATATTTAACGTCAAATTCTAAATGTAATAGAAATTCCATACAAACCAAATATAATCCAACCTCAAAAATAAAATTCAATACGTAACAGAGGATTAACCAAATTTAATATCCAAAAGGTAATCTGTATCATGTCAAAAGAGTAATCTATACCACCAAAAAATTAATCTGTACCGCACCAAAACTAATTTGTACCACGTCCGTACCACGCCAAATTTTAGATTTGTAACATGCCAAAAAAGTAATTTGTACGAACAATTCTAAGGACGAAGGTATAAAAATAATGTCTTCCATACTTGTCAAAAAAAGTTGTGTCTACAATTCCACCCCAAATACCATTTGTAAAAATAAAATTAATCATTAGTATTGACTAAATATTGGCATATTTTAAAATATAAAAAAAATATAAAACTAGATTTAATTAATCTTTTCAAATTAATCATTAGTTTTGCATACTTAAATATATATGAAAGAAAAATATGTAAAACCAAACACATATATTAGGCAATCAGTAATATTTTACAAGTAATCATTATACATAATTAATAATTATTTTTTCATTTTTTGGCCTCGAACGTCGTTTTCGACTAAGTTGAAAGTGTTTTTCACTCTAACTCTCAACCTACATGTCCTATTTACGCACCGTCTGTCCGTACAAGTCACTATGGTTTCTCCCATCCATTAGTACACGGGTGATGAAAATGAATCTAATTACTTGCTTTCAGAGGTATTGGATGATCAGGAAGCAGATAAATCTAACTAACCATTAACAATGCACTACTAGCCTTACTACAAGGAATAGAAGCATAATATTTCAAAACAAAAACAAAAAAATAAAAATGTCAGAAAAATGAAACTGAAAATGTTTAGTAGTGAGTTAATAGGCATGCACTTTTTATTCGACAGCAGGCTACTGAACAAGTATTTTTTGTTTGGCAATGAGTTACTGGATATGTATTTTTTGTTCGACAACGTGATTTCGGATTAATTGATTTTGTTCAGTTCTAGTAAACCGAACAAAAGTCGAACAACCCTCATAAAAACGAAACGAAAACAAAAAGAAAAGAAAAAAAAACTCACCATTTTCACTTTTTTGCTGATCCTTCATCATATTTTCTTCGTCCATTGTTTTCTTTTATGATCAAAACACTATCATTCTTACTTTTTAAAAAGTAGATATACAGTAAAGAAGAAGAAATGAGAAAAGAAATAAGGATAAGTGTAATGGGTGTAGAGAATTTTGTAATAGTTTGGCTTGTTTTGAAAAGCAAAAAGAAAAGAAGATAATTTATTAGCTTATTTTAATTACTATCATTTCTTTATTTTTTTTTATATATTTTTTCGTAAAAGTCAAAAAAATTTTTTATTACACAATACCCATAAAGGCTTGTTTTGAAAAGTAAAAATAATAATAAATTTATTAATTATTTTTTTGACTTTTTTTTTAAATATATATATAAAAAAAATTAATATAATCCAAATAAATTAATAAATCTACTCTTTTTTTTTTTCTCATCTCCAAGATTCTGATTTTCAGAAAATTTTATTTATTTATTTTTTGTATTTTAATAAGTTTTTTTAATATTTAAGTAATTTTTTTTTAATTTTTAGACACACCTAATACAAATACACTTAAAAAATATAATATTTATGAAAAAAAAATTATAAAAAATACACTAAATACAAAAAAATAGTATATTTTTCTTATTTTTATGTATTTATTAATTTTTAAAAATATTTTTTCACAAATATTTTACCAATTTAGATACATCTAATTGTGATATATTTAAAAAAATAAAAAAAATTACTTAAAATTTAAAACATGTTCACTAAAAATTTTAAAAAAAAATACGTAAAATAAAAATAATAATTTTAAAAAAAATTAATTTTAAAAACTGAAACCAAATATTTTGTTTTGGGTCCGTGGGTGCGTAATGCGCACTGCAAGACCTGGGTCCGCAGAACCCGTGAAACCCGTTGACTTTCTCTCTCTACATCTATATATCTATGACTTGTATACATGGGTCGCTCTCCGCAGGGCTGAAAGAAAGAATCTCATTCTTTTTCTCTTCATCTCTCTGTCTCTGCTTTTTCATTTTAGCGGTCTGAGACAGACAGATATACACGAATGTTTCAAGTAAAGCCATTTCCAAACTAAATCCTTGAACTTATTTCTAAGTCTTGAATTTCAATCTCTCTCTTTCTCTATATCTATATATATATATATAGATATAGTTATGCTAATACCCACAACCTTAGAAGAGGCCCAAGAACATCATCGACCCCCTTCACTTTATTCTCTGCTTCTTCTTGTTTAGTCTTGAGATTCAATTTTTCTATTTCTTCAAGCTATGGAACCTGTGGTTCTTGATGGTATAATCAATCGATTGCTCGAAGTTCGGGGTAGACCAGGGAAGCAAGTTCAGCTTTCAGAGTCAGAGATCAGACATCTTTGTGTCCAGTCCAAAGAAATCTTCTTGCAACAGCCCAATCTCTTAGAGCTTGATGCACCCATCAAGATCTGTGGTACTTTTTCTATCAATTTCCACTGTTTTCCCCCAATTTTTAGGATGATCAGTTTGACTAGGTTTTAATTTCAGTGAAATGGGTTTGACTAGGTTTTAATTTTAATGAAATGGGTTTGGCTTGACATTGATTGTTCTCGAGTGGGTTTGCTTTAATTATGATAAATCTCAAGTGGGTTTGGTTGATTGTGGTGGTTGTCAAGTGGGTTTGGTTTAGTTTTGATTTGCACTTAATTATTGTGTTTGTGTAGGGGAACTCTATTCTGGTCATGAATTAGTTGTGCATATTCTGAAATGTTTTTTTCATTTGATGATAAAATATTCTAGGATTAGAGATTGAAATTTGCATTTGAAGAGATTAGTATTGATTTACTGCTTAAATTGGGTATTCATATCGGGAATCATGTTGTGGATATATTCTTAATCCAAAATGACTGGTAGCTCGAAATTCGTGGCTCGATTTTGGCTCGACAGCCCAAAACGACGTCAACCTATGTCGTTTTGGGCTGTCTTCTTTTTTTTTTTTTTTTTTCTTCTTCTTCTTCTTCTTCGTCGTGCTGGTCTGAAACCAGAGGGAGAGGAGAGGGAGAGGGAGAGAGGAGAGGGAGAGGGAGAGAGAGAGAGAGAGAGAGGAGGCAGGTCGTCCGTCGCAGCCCTCCGCCGTCGCCTCTGCCCGATCGTCGTAGCCCCGCATCGGCCGATCGTCGTCGCAGCCTCCGCGCCTCCGCCCCTCCTCCGCCTTCGCCCCCCGCCTCCGCCTCCCCCCCGATATGTTGGCCCCCTCCAGTCCCTCCTCCTCCTCCGCCCCTCCTCCAGCCTCTCCCTCCTCCTCCTCCTTCTCTCTCACTTTTTCGAGCCAATTTCGAGCCAAAAATCTCGAGCTACCAATCGCGATTGATTCTTAATTGCATATTTTGCTATAGTTGTGAGTGATTCGGACTAGGCTCTGTTTGTTTTGTGTTTTGGAAATTTATTGATTTCTGAAATGTTTTGTGTTTATATATTTTAGTTTCTCCATATTAGTTGCTGTTATTGCTGGTTGAAAATTGTATTTTCCAAAAGTATTTCAACTATGCAATGCAAATGGATGAATTAGCTCTTGGAAAGTTCAACTCATAGCACACCATTGTTGATTCAATTCTATTAGAGGTTTTTTGTTTGGGGATGTGAATTGCGCTAACCTTGTATGAGGTTACTAACAAAGTAACAATTATTGACCTTCCCTCACGCTTCTAAACTGACACTGAGCTCTCATGTCGAACATGTTGGCTAAATGGCATTAAGGATAATGTGCGTTTACTTTTTTACACTCACCTATTTATTCAATTGTTTTTATGGAAATAAATGTTTTAGCCTTCTATGTGAGGTTAATAACACTCAATCCCACTTGTAACACGTATATTGAGGCCAATGACCAGACATTGGGTGGTCATTAGCATTTTTCCTGTTTAATAAGGCATGTTTGTGCAATAGTGCAATTCAAGGTGGTGCATACCATATACCTAGACAATAATATGCATCTTAAGAAGCACAAACACTTCTATTGAGGAGGTGTCTTGTGACCAACACCCGTGTCGAACACCTGCAAATTATAAACATGTTTTGAAACATTTATAAGATGAATACGTCATGTGTACTTTAATGTTCTACAATTGTTTTGCATTCTTTGGAATGCAAGTGTTACGTGGCCTTTTTAATTTTAACTAGGCTTTTTGTTTTTTCATTGCTTTAGAATAACTTATTCATATATTTGACCTATAATAAATTATAATTCTTTGACGTGTCCCAAGCATATTGTGTCGTGCATTTTTCTAAGCTAGTCATGTCAACATGTCCATGTCATGCCTGCATGTCAGTAAATGTGCTACTTAGTATGCGTCTTAACTTGATCTTATCATTGACTACGATTGTTTCTTGTCAATAGCGATTCAATGCATTCAGTGGAAGCATCATTTTTCAAATTGTTACTTAAATGAGTTATGTACTCTGGAAGTGAATTTTGTATCCAACACTGGACTTTGGCCTCCATTTTAGAGTTATTAGGGAAACAAAACAATGAAACTCCCAATGGAGTTGTGATAATTATCTATTGAAATTTGAATGTATTGTTTATGTTATTTCCCACGATTCATGAATATGTCATTATGATTGTCCATTTATTTATTGATTTTTTTTTAGGAGATATTCATGGTCAATATAGTGATCTTCTAAGGCTTTTTGATTATGGTGGGCTACCTCCTCAGTCTAAATACTTATTCTTGGGGGATTATGTGGATCGAGGGAAGCAAAGCCTGGAAACTATATGCCTCCTCCTTGCATACAAGATAAAATATCCCGAAAACTTCTTCCTTTTGAGGGGAAACCATGAATGCGCTTCTGTAAACCGTATATACGGATTTTTTGATGAGTGCAAGCGAAGGTTTAATATCAGACTCTGGAAAATCTTCACAGATTGCTTTAACTGCCTACCTGTGGCAGCTGTCATTGATGAAAAGATTCTCTGCATGCACGGTGGACTTTCTCCGGACCTCAATGACTTGAATCAAATCAGGAATATACAGCGTCCAACAGATGTTCCCGAAACTGGTTTACTATGTGATTTACTTTGGTCTGATCCGAGTAAAGATGTTAAAGGGTGGGGAATGAATGATAGGGGAGTTTCCTATACCTTTGGCCCTGAAAAGGTGACCGAGTTTCTTCAAAAGCATGATCTGGACCTCATTTGTCGTGCTCATCAGGTTTGAACTGTGTTAAGCTTATTCTTTTGCTACATTCATTCTTCAAGAGTGTCTTATGATTATTCCTTATCATGTAGGTTGTGGAAGATGGGTACGAGTTCTTTGCTGATAGACAACTTGTAACTGTATTTTCGGCTCCTAATTACTGTGGAGAGTTTGATAATGCTGGCGCGATGATGAGTGTTGATGACTCTTTGATGTGTTCTTTTCAAATATTAAAGCCTGCGGAGAAGAAGTCAAAGTTTGACTTTGGAAGCACAACTACAGCTAAGCCAGGAACGCCTCCAACAAAAAACAAGGTAATCATAAGCCTACTCCCAAGGGTTAAGTCCTCCATCTAACACATTGTTGTGGTGAATATGGTTTCCTTAAAGATTGCTTGAAACTAGGTGTGTTTATGGGTGTGGATGAGAAGAAAATTTTAAAGGGGCTAATGCAAGTACAAATTCAATAAAACTATTTTGAATTAATGGGATATATTTTGCAACATTCAGTTTCAATCAAGTATTAGGAAATAATTGTTCAAATCGCTGTGTAGTTATCGTCAATTACTAGAGCGAAAGTCTTTTGTGCAATCATTTAAATGGTACCAAATTATTATGCAAGTATCTTTTTTCGAGGTTAGAAATGTTTCTTTACTGGCAAATATGAGTTTCTTGTTCCTCAAATATCGAAAAAAAATTAGAGAATCCAAGTGTCTAACTTGGGTACCTAGTGTCGAACACTTATCTCACATCCATATACCTGTTATATTTGGCGGACACAAGTACTTTGGGGGAAGTAGAAGAGTCTGTGTAAGACAGTGTTACCAATGGACTGGTCCTTTTTTCTTTTCTTTTTTTTACTTGCTTGTGATATTTCTTTTCTTGTCCTTAATGGAGAATTCTCTTTCATGTTCATGTCATGAAATGATGATTGTGATAACATCCCAATCTCATCATTCGTCTTGCCTAAGACAATTGTAATATGCATTTGCATTTTATAGTGTTCTTGAACTATCAACTTCATTTACACATTCATCGTTGTGCATTGTCTTTTTGCAACCATATACCCATTGTGAGCATGAGAGGGAAATATTTCTTCTCTAGCTGTCAAAATTAGAGTTATTGCAGGAATTACCTTCTTTCCAGAGGCTGTGTTTTGAAATAATGCCTGCTCAACCAACTTAATTTAACTCTAAAATCTTGTGAAAATTGATAAACTTGATATATTGGTTTGCCTGATTACTAAATCGGCAATGTCCTAACCATATTCAACTGTAGCTAAGGGTGTGGGGAAATAGAAGAGAGAATAAGAGGGAAAAGGAGGGCCACAACCCTATAACACAAAATGGTCAAAGCCTTCAATAGTCAATATTATTCCAAACCTAATTATTACAATGCAAACACCTAATATTTATAAGCTACAAACCCTAATTCAAAATAGAAAACTAAATTGTAATTTTATATGGACACTTAATTTCTAATAAATATACGAATCTCCAAATTAAACTATAAGTAAAAATAAATAAACGTAAATATAAAAGTTAAAAAATGAATAAAATCTCCATGCCACATTCAGCATCAGACATCTTCTTGTTGCTCCTCCGTTTTGTCAAAAAGTTCCGTCATTGAATATACCCTGGTAATTGAAAGCAGTAAATGCCATCTGTTTGGTAGCTTTTTAAGCACTCTTTTTCACTTGTTCGCAGTTACTCGGTGCAAAAGTATGATATCCGTTCATTTGGAGCGAACATCCGTCGAAGGGCTTGGGCCATGGGCCATTTCATTGCAAAGGGCAGTTAAAAAATGTGGGAACTTTTTCAGCAAAGAAATTATGTGTATTCCTTCCTTTGATATAAGTGGTGAAGGCTTGTAATTTTTTTCTATTTTTGTTTTTTGTTTTTGTTTTGTTTTATTTTGTTTTGTTTTTTTCCGCCTTGCTCATCCATGTACAATACAAGTTGCTACAGCAAGGGGTTTGGGATCGCACCCTGTACAAGAGAATCGCTCGTCTCTTGATGTTATAATTAGAAATGAACTTTGGAACATCCTAGGAAGCTGTCATATCGCACATACATGGACTTCTGTTCATGATTTCAGGCGAGTCCAATAGTTTCTGTTACAGCATTTCTGTGGTGAGTAGTATCATACATGTTTTATCCACCAAATGTGTGGTATATACCTTTTTTTTTTTTTTCCTGTTATGTTTGGATCATAGATTTGTCAAAAAGAACTTGAAATGAAATTACTCATAATGCTACCCTTTTTTTTTTCTTTTGGGGTAATGGATACTTTTCATTTTTTAAGAACAAATTCAAGATCCAAACATGGCGTTAATTTTAGAACAAAATAATAGAACCATTATAATATTTGATAGCATGCGTGTCATTGTCTTTATGAGAAATTTGTAAAAAAAAAAGAAAAGGAAAAAAATGTTTGAAATTATGTGAAATTTATATATATTTTATTCACATTTTATTTATATTTTTTATTTCTCTTTTTAAATTCCTTTTTAAATCCTCTAATGAAACGCAACCCTAGTATTGGCAATTGCATTATGGAGATGTGGATGTATGAAAAGGGGTCATTTGAGTGGCAAATTTGAGGCTGGCACTAAGCCACTTGACAAATCTATAGATTATTATTATTATTATTATTTATTGTGATGTCATGTTCCATGGGTTGTTGATGCGTTTCTGTGACATTAAAGAGATGAAATACCTCTGAAGTGGCCTTGGTTGCTTTTTAAGTTATTTCAAGACAACTTATTTTAACTATTTGGGAAGCATAACTCAAGTAATTTTTACACGGTGAATTTTTATTAGACTACTTGATAATTTTTCTTCGACAAGTTAACTAAAAAAGTTGAATGTAGTCTTTTTAATCAAGTAGAATTGCCAAAAGAGATTCACGTAGCTGATATACTTGATTTGGGGCTTTTAACTAAAAATTTTTGCTTCACTTGGATGTTCCAAGTTCAACGTAATTGTTGTTTCCTAATTGTGCGAGTATTGGGTACTTTGGTTGGTACCTTTTTTTTTTAAGTACATCATAAATAATATTGTGCAATTATTCGGTATCACTGTTGACATTGATGTGATAATATTACAAATATATTTTGATCCTTGATTATTCGATGCTATCGGTCGGCAAAAGTTCTATGACCATAATGTATTTGTGGCATTGTCATGCCAAAGGGGCAATATTTATTATTATTATTTTTATATGCTGAAATGGCCAAACACTTTTAACACAAAATTCAAAATTTTTTTAAATAAATAAATAAATAAATCACAAGCATTCCTAATAAGCTTGTGAGGCCATTGTATGGTAATCTTCAAGGGATTTTTGGTGAAACCTCTCTTTTGGGCCTTTTTTATTAGGGTAAAGAATAACCCAATTAATTTTCTTTTAAAAAGTCTTTGAGTAGGAAATGCCTACCTTAATAAGGACATTTTATAATTTTTATTTTTTTTTTATCACAATATTGCCCTTATATATATAGTATCATACGTATGAAAAATTTTAAATCTGAGCTCGCAGCCGATGAAGACGATGAAGACGATCTCCAAATCGATCATACTTCACAAAATCGATGAAGATGATCTCCAAATCTGAAGATCTCGCAGCCGAACATCTCTCACTTGTTCAACAATAGACGATCTCGCAGCCGAACATCTCTTACTTGGTGGCCGATGATCAACACTCTCAATTAAACGAGAGTTTCATTGAGATTTGTGATTGTTGATCGAGTTGTAGAGGTTTTTCTTCTCAATTAGATATGTTGATTTGTTAATTAATTTTTTTTGTTTTTGTTTGTTTGTTTGTTTTTTTTTTTTTTGATTTATTTTTGTTGTGTTTGATCTGATTTCGTTTGACAGAATCAGAGTAAAATTTTACTCTTGTTCTATTGTTGTGCCTTTTGTTTTAGAGAATGAGAGTAAAATTATACTCTGGTTCGATTGCTCTGTTTACAATGAGAGTAAAATTTTACTTTTATACAGAGTAAAATTTTACTTTCAAATTCAGGCCACAACATTTTACTCTTAGATTCAGAGTAAAGTTTTACTTTTATGCAGAATAAAATTTTACTTTTAGATTCTTTTTGTAACATTTTACTTCTATATCAGAGTAAAATTTTACTCTGGTTCGATTGCTCTATTTGCAATGAGAGTAAAATTTTACTTTTATATAGAGTAAAATTCTACTTTCTAATTCAGGCCGCAACATTTTACTCTTAGATTCAGAGTAAAATTTTACTCTTATGCAGAGTAAAATTTTACTTTTATGCAGAATAAAATTTTACTTTTAGATTCCTTTTGTAATATTTTACTCCTATATCAGAGTAAAATTTTACTTTTATGCAGAGTAAAATTTTACTTTTTAGATTCATGTTTCAAGTTGTGTTGGTGACACACTGTATGAGTTGTCAATCTTTGGCAAACTAAATAGTAAAAATTAACTCTAAAATATAGTACAATGTTACACTAAACCACAGTAAAATTTTATCAATTCAAACTAAACACAAATTGTAGTGATAGTAAAATTTTACTTTGATAGTGACTGTAAAATTTTACTGTTAATTGATTGCAGATTTGTAAAATGGTTCCACCTCTTATGTTGTTATGCAAGTATGGTGATCGTACCATTGTGTTCAACGTTGTGTCAAACTGCACGTTGAAGGATTTAACTGATTTCTTAAGTTGTAAATTGAAGAAGTTTGACAATAGTGGTTGCATACTGTTATCGTATTGTTTGCCTGGACATTCGCAATGCATGATTGATGATGATTCTGATTTTCAGAATATGTTGTCGCTTGTTTATCCCCTTGGTGTTGACCGGGTTGATGTGACTATTACTGAAATGGGCATTTCAAATGAAAAACATGGAGTTGGAGAATCAGGGGACGCTACTGGATCCAACATTACTGATGATGAAATGGATTTACTCCCTATGTTTTGTCAACATGAAGAAATGACTTTGTTGTCTTGTGGATGGGTGAATGGAATTACTCATGTAAGTCAAAAATTTATTGGAGGTGCAAAGGATTTTCGAACTGCATTATGTAAATATGCTATTGAGATAGGATTTGAGTTTGTGTATGTGAAGAATGAGAAGTGCGGGTCACTGCTGTGTGTTCAATGCGGGAGTCGAAAGCTTGTTTATGGCGAGTACATGTATCTCTAGAAAGTGCTAATAATTTTTTCTACATTAGGACTCTACATGATGAGCATACTTGTGGAGCTGCAGTTCGTACTTCTAAAAACTCAAGGATGAGTTCAAATTTGGTTGCAAGTTTAATTGTTAATGAAGTTCGTGGGAATCCCCAAACTCGTCCAAATGATGTTGTGCATCAATTTACAGATCAATACGGGCTTACCATTACGTACAATCACGCTTGGTTGAGAGTTGAGAAAGCTAGGACTACTACTTTTGGAGATTTCTCTATGTCTTATGATGAGATTCGATGGTATATGGATATTGTGATGAGCACAAATCCTGGTAGCTATTTGCGTCTTGACTATAACTATCAAAGTGGACGGTTCAAGAGGTTTTTTGTTGCATTTAATGCTTCCATTCAAGGGTTTAGGCATTGCCGTCCTCTATTGTTTATCGATAGAACTTTTCTGAAGAGGAAATATAAGGACACCTTGTTAACAGCTACAGCGAAGGATGGGGATCAAGGTAGATATTACTATAGTTTATTCCAAAGTAACAAGTTACTTATTCTCAGATTAACATGTTACTGTTATTCAGAGTAAAAATCTACTATATTTGTCCTTTTCGTTTAATATACTTACTAATTGTAAAATGTTATTTTTCAGGTTTTTTCCCTCTTGCAATGGCAATTGTCGATACAGAGACTATAGACAGTTGGGAATGGTTTTTTATGCATTTGTCGAATATATTGTTGGATGAAAAACCAATTACCTTCATATCTGATCGGAACGCTGGACTTTTGGAGGCTTTACCCAAGATTTTACCTACTGCTTACCACTATTTTTGTCTCCAACACTTGAAGGCCAATTTGAGGGATAGGTTCTCTAGTTTAAGTTTCAGCAATACTTTTAGGAGTAGAATAGTTTTTTTGTTTTCTTCGTGTGCTTACGCTCCGACAGTGGGATGTTTTAATCAGTGCTTGAAAGAATTACAAGATGAGGGAAAATGGATCGTTTGTGGGTTTCTATCCAATTTGCCTTATGACAAGTGGACTAATGCATACTTTAAAGGACAAAAATACGGTGAAATGCACTCGAATGTGGCAGAGTCTTTCAATTCATGGATCCGTCAAGCTCGCTATTTGCCCACTACAAAGATGATTGATTCAATTAGGTTGAAGATCATGGATTTGATATCGAGAAGGAGAGAACAAGCTAAGAAATTGAATAATTTTCTTTGTCCGGAGATGGATTCAACATTAGTAAATGCTCTTAAAAGTGGAAGAACTTGGTTGGTTAGTCGTTCAAGTGATCATGTTTTTGAGGTTCAATCCCGGCCATCGGTTAGCGTTGACCTCTTGAATAGAATTTGCTCATGTTACCAATGGCAATTGAATGGATTTTTTTGTGCTCACGCGGCGATTGCTATCCAAAAGAGCAGAGGTGATTTGTATGCACATGTGGAACCATTTTATTACACTAGCAAGTTCAAAGATTGCTATGCTGAGTCCATTTATCCAATACCCCCAATACCCACTGTTGAGAAACCTCTTGTCGCTATGGATGATCTTGTTGCCCTTCCTCCAATTTGTAAGAAGCCACATGGTAGGCCAAGGAAGAATAGGATCCTATCTAGGGGTGAGAAGATAAGACGAGTACAGTGTGGTAGATGCGAGAAGTACGGTCATAATAGAAAGACTTGCAAGGAGGCATTGCCGTGAAAGACATTATTGATTTTGTAACAGAAGTATAAAAATAATGCAGTTCTTCTACAATAAGTAGTCCATAGCAATAATAGTATAGTCTTTTAGACTAGATTTGTAAGGCGACATTGCAATAAAAGACATTTTTACTATGTTCTTGAATGGTTGTCTGTTCTAGTTTCTGATTTGTTTTGTCATTGAATGGTTGTCTATGGGTGTGATGAGCCTGTGGTTTCACAGTAAAATTTTACTATGTTCAGAGTAAAATGTTACTTTTATATTAAAATTTTACCTTATTTCAGAGTAAAATTTTACTTTTATGGAGGGTAAAATTTTACTTTAGTGCAGAGTAACATTTTGCTTTTAGATTTAGAGTCCAAATTTTACTCGCCTTTCAGAGTAAAATTTTACTTTCATACAGAGTAAAATTTTACTTTTAGATTTAGAGTCCAAATTTTACTCGCCCTTCGAAGTAAAATTTTACTTTCATACAGAGTAAAATTTTACTTTTGTACAGAGTAAAATTTTACTTTTATACAGAGTAAAATTTTACTTATTCTGGCTGTAACATTTTGTTCTTAGATTCAGAGTGTAACATTTTATTCTTATTTCAGAGTAAAATTTTACTTTTAGATTTTTCTGGTAACATTTTACTCTTATTGCAGAGTAAAATTTTACTTTTATGCAGAGTAAAATTTTACTTTTAGATTCAGAGTGCAACAATTTACTCATCTTTCAGAATATAAAGTAAAATTTTACTTTTATGCAGAGTAAAATTTTACTTCATTTCAGAGTAAAATTTTACTTCATTTCAGAAAATATGTTAGTCCCCTTAGAAAAACATTTCCAACCTGCACCAAAATCCACAACACACAAACTCCCCTGATGATCATCATGCAATCTTTGTGCAAAAAAAATCTAACAACACAACTACATATATCATCAACATTCATTCCCAGTTAAAGCAACATTTATAGCAACATTCATTCCACTTACATTCCCAGTCAAAACAAAATTCATAGCAACATTCATAGCAACATTCAGTCAAAAAAAAATTTAAGCCTCTACCTGTATCATTGTATTCTATCCATAACAACATTCATTCCCAGTCAAAACAAATATCCTTCTATAATAATGTATTAATCACCAAACTACAGTAAAATTTACTAGAACAATAGACATAGCATCTACTATCTAATACTATTTTAGTATTCTTTCACTTACAATTACTTTTTCACCGTTCTTTCATTTACAAAAACCGAAATTACAAAAATCATTCACAGTAGTTCCCCAAAACTTGTCCACATTGTCATTCTTGAGGTCTTAGCTCTTGCCCATTTTTTTTTTGAGGTTGAAGTGTTCCTCAGTCCATGCTTTTGGATAATCATTCAAAAATTGATGCACTATTGACGCTCGAAAATTGTTAATTTCATTCTCTTCCATAGAATTTGCAATAGGCTCATCTCTTATGATTTGGCGCATGATATAACATACAATAATTCCACAATCAACACTGTTAAATAAAAATCAATATCTTGTTAGATTTAGTCAAATTTGAAAACTACCAATTCAAGCATGTAATAGTAGCATGAAATACTTACGATGTTGGGCGTTGTTGTGGACTATCTTTCACCGAAACCAAGTTTGAAAACTTTCTTCTACCTCTTTTCGTTTTGTTGGCCAACTTGCTATCCACATATGTTATCTAACATCATTGCATAATTGTTGGGTCACGATTAAATTCAAGAATAAAACACAGAAAAAAAATTACTGTTAATATGATGCAAAACACTTACAATCTTTTTTGCATCCTTAAGGTAAGGATCTTCTCTGTTGTCTCTTGGCCTTAAAGAATTGTAATGTCTCCACTCATCAAGTTCAGTGACAAATACAAGAAGTGTCCAGTGGTAGGGTTTTTCTTCGTTTTTGTTCCCATTGGAATTCATGCAAAAATGAAGGTATCTATATCCACTCAAATCTTGTTCAAGGACTTTATCAATTAAATGATTTCTCAGCTCCCCATAACCCCATTTCACTAAAGACTGCATTTAATCATATAAGAGTGTCATGTCTCAAGTTGTGTTAGTGACACACTGTATGAGTTGTCAATCTTTGGCAAACCAAATAGTAAAAATTAACTCCAAAATACAGTACAATGTTACACTAAACCATAGTAAAAATTTATCAATTCAAACTAAATACAAATTGATGGCTTACCTAACAAAGGCTTGAGAAAAAGAATGATTTATTCTTTTCTGGCTTCTTGACTTGTTGCTCAATCTCAAGCATTTCTATGAAGCTGTCAATGACCTACAAAAACAAAAATCAATTAAATATATGTTAATAAAATGAACTATTTTTAGTTATTGAAGTGAACACTAGTCATTGAAACTTGTATGACCACTTACATTATTTGCAGTATCACCATCTCTCAGAATTGCATCCACATCATGCAATGTAACATATACTCCATTTCCTGTGCCGGACCATATGATTGCACTAGTCATAAGGTAAAAAAAATGTTGATTAACACGTTGTAGTTTGATAACAGTAAAAATCTGTTGTTTGACAAAATTAAAATGGTCTTACTCTGTGGTCTCCAAATTGTAAATCTTGTTCAATAGACACTTATCATTCTCATCAAGCAATTTGCATATTGCAGCCTTATCTGGAAACAAAACCCTTTCAACTGGCTTTGCTTGGCTCAGAGACAAGTTGTCAACACAAATCACTTCTTTTGACATCACTTCAATTGCCTGTTTTGTGGTCTTTTTTTTCTTTGCCTCTCTTGGCTCACATTCAAAATCAGACATCTCTTTTTTCTTCCTCGCCTTGATTTTGATTTTCCTGACCATGGATGTTTGCAATGGCTCTACGACTATAGGTGTTTCTTTCAATGTACTTTGAATCCCAATGTTTTGCTCTTGTTCTACTCCTTTAGCATGTGGCATTTCTTTAGAAGCAAAACCTTGGGTAGCAGCATGAACTGCATTTTCTTCAATCTGTTCAACCAACTGTTTATTTTCAAATTCGAGTACTTCAATCTCCTTTCTTAGTTTCTCCATTTCTTTCTCTGTGTTGCTTATCTTTTCCATCATTTCTTTTGTTTTTGCCTCTTGATCCTCTTCTATTTTTTGCATTGTTTCCCTCATTTTCTTCAGTTCTTCAACTAACGCCATATTCTCACTTTTCAGCCTCTTGTTTTCCTTCTGAAGATCAATGAAGTCCTTCAAAGGTTGATCATCTCTTAAAGCTTCAGCTACATAATCTTCATCTTCTTCAGTCTCCAAATTTTCCTCCATGTCCAATGCATCTTCTTCAGTCTCCAAATTTTCCTCCATGTCCAATGCATCTTTTTCAGTCTCCAAATTTTCCTCTATGTCCAATGCATCTTCTTCATCATCATTGCAAATGAGTTTCATTTCTTCTCTAGAAATGGGCTTCAGTTCATTATGATTTACCTGCATTTGAAAAATAGAAAAAGAAAAGAAGCCAGCAATTAAGCAAACTTTAACCACTAGAGTAAAATTTTACTCCATTTCAAAGTAAAAGTATACTCTGATTGTAAGTAAACTTTTACTCTAATTTTAAGTAAACATTTACTCTGTTCAAGAGTAAGTAAAAGTTTACTCTGACGGTAAGTAAAAGTTTACTCTAATTTAAAGTAAACTTTTACTCTGATTTAAAGTAAATTTTTACTCTGTTCAAGAGTAAGTAAAATTTTACTCTGACTGCAAGTAAAATTTTACTCTGATTTAAAGTAAACTTTTACTCTGTTCAAGAGTAAGTAAAATTTTACTCTGACTGCAAGTAAAAGTTTACTCTGATTTAAAGTAAATTTTTACTCTGTTCACAAGTAAGTAAAATTTTACTCTGACTGTAAGTAAACTTTTACTCTGATTTAAAGTAAACTTTTACTCTCTTCAAGAGTAAGTAAAATTTTGCTCTGTTTCAAAGTAAAAGTTTACTCTGATTGTAAGTAAACTTTTACTCTGTTCAAGAGTAAGATTTTATTATGTAAATATAATTTTAAACAAAGTGAACCAGTAAGGCTGAGTTTGGAAAGATGATACCTCTTCGGGCTTTAGTGTTTGCAATAACCTCTTCATTAGCTTTTTCCTCAATGTTGATAAGTCCCATCGAATGAGCCTTGGACACAAATTTTTTCCTTGAGGTTGAATGAGCGTAGTATGCTCGCATAACCAGTACTACAAAATAAAAAATCGAAATTAGTTAATTCTCTAAAGATACATTGCATAATATTTAAAGTAGTTCAATTTACTTACCAAAAGAAGAAGTACACATCCATTGACATTTTCAGGACTTCCTAATGAAGAATGGATTGAAGTAGTCAACGTGGATGCAACTGCAGTCGACCATGCATACAAATTCATCATTTCCAAATCTTCTACAAGGGCGACAAAGGCCCATCCAACTGTTAGACCAGTTGTTGGTAATAGCAAAGTCGCCACAACAAATAGACACATTATTCGTGCAACATCCTCAACATCAACTCTCGTTGTGCCTTTCAACGCATCTCCTAATGCCTCTCGCAAACTCTTTACAGATATTCTTGACATATTACGAAACCTTCTCTGCACAAAAGGTGATTCTTGTTTTTTCCCATATGACACATCTACTTTTTTTGTTCCCGATTTTATCCCAAAAATCAAAGTAACATCACTATCCCGTATGTCACATGTTTTCCCCCCAAGCTTAAATCCCTTTGCATGAAAGTCATAAGATTTGATCACATCCATGACATTATCATCAACTTTCTTGAACTTCTTTAACACCACATTATTTTTCTTCTAAAAACATTTAAACAACATCCCAAAAAGTGTTATCTCAAGGGCAGTAATGTGTCTTTTAGTGAACCTCGTGTCTCGCATTAGGTTTATCAATGAAACAATATTTGACCTATATTGTTTCATATAGTTCTCCCTCTCCCGTACTCCATGTATAATATTCAACTTCGAAGGACTTTCTTCACTACTTTTGCTCTTTTTTTTAGAGACTTTCTTCTTTTGTATAACCGTTGGTGAAACTTCAAAATCATCATCACCACCATATTTGCTTCTTTTAACAACCATTTTTAAACACTAAAAGTTTCCCTATATCAACAATGTAACATTTTACTGTAAACAACAACGTAACAAAACAAATAAGCACTAAACAAAATGCACAAGCATTGTAATGAGACAGTAAAATTTTACTCTGTTAGGCAGTAAAATTTTACTCTGATTGGAAGTAAAATTTTACTCTGTTAGGTAGTAAAATTTTACTCTAATTGGAAGTAAAATTTTACTCTAATTGGAAGTAAAATTCGTGAAGCAAGTGAATTTAAAAGCATTGAAATTGCAGGACCAAAACACTACAGAAATCAAAGCGTAATGAGCAAAGGCTAGAGTTAAAGTAAAATTTTACTCTCATTATAAACAAGTGAATTTAAAAGTAAAACTTTACTTTTATTGAAAGTAAAATTTTACTCTGATTGGAAGTAAAATTTTACTCTGAAAATTCATGAAGCAAGTGAATTTGAAAGCATTGAAATTGCAGGGGCCAAAACACTATCGAAATCAAAGCGTAATGAGCAAAGGCTAGAGTTAAAATAAAATTTTACTCTGTAATAAGTAAAATTTTACTCTCATTATAAACAAGTGAATTTGAAAGCATTGAAATGCCAGGACCAAAACATTACAGAAATCAAAGCGTAATGAGCAAAGGCTAGAGTTAAAGTAAAATTTTACTCTGTAATAAGTAAAATTTTACTCTCATTATAAGCAAGTGAATTTGAAAGCATTGAAATGGCAGGACCAAAACACTACATAAATCAAAGCGTAATGAGCAAAGGCTAGATTTAAAGTAAAATTTTACTCTATAATAAGTAAAATTTTACTCTGAAAAATTCATGAAGTAAGTGAATTTCAAAGCATTGAAATTGTAGGATCAAAACACTACAGAAATCAAAGCATAATGAGCAAAGGCTAGAGTTCAAGTAAAATTTTACTCTGTAATTCCGAAATACCTAAATTAGTTTTCAAATTTTTAAACCTTAACATTCTCACATGATTTAGTAATTTAAAGTGTTTTAAGATAGTGATAAAATTTTTAGAACAGATGATCCTTAGTCCAACCAAAAATCCCAAATTCTTCTCACCCAACGTAATCTCATACACCACTCCCAAAATGAAAACAAACCCACACAGACTTCATAATATTGAAAAACTAGCAGAAAGAGGAAAAAATCACCTGTAAAATGTGTGTCCAAGTGAGAGAGTAAAGCGTAATGCCGAGTTTGATTCGAGCGCAAGCGACGAACCAAGCGACGAACCTGTAACCTTGCTAGGGTTTCAATCGACGAAACTGTAACGAAATAGCTCCAGAGAGCGAGAGTAATGAGACTCAGATAAGGGTTTCAATCGTTGCTAGGGTTTTCGAATGATGATATTCAGAGGAGAGGAGGGTTTTCAATCGATAAAACAGAAGGAAATGAGAGAAACGGTGCAATTGTTTCATATTTCCCGCCTTATATATGGATGGGCATTTCAGTCAATTCATGCTATTTTTTTAATTGAGAGGCTTTTGGGGCCATTGTTTTCATCCGTGGGCTTCAGGCAAAATAGGCCCCATAGAAGGGGCTTTTCATCAAAAATCTCAATCTTCAATTGTTTGTTTGACAATTTAAAGTTCAATTCAACTTGGCTATGTCCATTGGTAATTTACAAGATGTGGATACAATTGCTAGGAAGTATCGATATGAAGTCAACAAAAGCAAAAATTATTCCCAGGTCATTTGATAATATGTTAATTTAGTTAAAAAGTCAAAGTTAAAAAAAGTTTAGGAATTTTCTATTTCTTTTTACTTCATATTTTTTTTGTAAAAAAAAATTAAAAAAATCATTTCTAAGGTGTCGTTTGGTAAAACTTACATTTTCAATTTTCTGTTTATATTTACAAAAATTTTAAAAACTCAAATAAAAACTTGTTTGGTACATTTTTTGATTTATAAATCAGTTGTCTCAGTTTATAAATTTGGCCAAAAAATAAAAACACAAAAAATGTGTTTCCATTTTGAGTTTTCAGTTTTTTTTTTTTTTACCCCAACATTAGCCACCACCCACCACCATTTTCCACCACCGTCTTCCGCTGCCACCACCACCCACCACCCACTCTCCTTTTAAGATAGTGATAAAATTTTTAGAACAGATGATCCTTAGTCCAACCAAAAATCCCAAATTCTTCTCACCCAACGTAATCTCATACACCACTCCCAAAATGAAAACAAACCCACACAGACTTTATAATATCGAAAAACTAGCAGAAAGAGGAAAAAATCACCTGTAAAATGTGTGTCCAAGTGAGAGAGTAAAGCGTAATGCCGAGTTTGATTTGAGCACAAGTGACGAACCAAGCGACGAACCTGTAACCTTGCTAGGGTTTCAATCGACGAAACTGTAACGAAATAGCTCTAGAGAGCGAGAGTAATGAGACTCAGATAAGGGTTTCAATCGTTGCTAGGGTTTTCGAATGATGATATTCAGAGGAAAAGAGGGTTTTCAATCGATGAAACAGAGAGAAGGGAGAGAAACGGTGCAATTGTTTCATATTTCCCGCCTTATATATGGATGGGCATTTCAATCAATTCATGTTATTTTTTTAATTGAGGGGCTTTTGGGACCATTATTTTCATCCGTGGGTTTCAGACAAAATAGGCCCTATGGAAGGGACTTTTCACCAAAAATCCCAATCTTCAATTGTTTGTCTGACAATTTAAAGTTCAATTCAACTTGGCTATGTCCATTGGTAATTTACAAGATGTGGATACAATTGCTAGGAAGTATCGATATGAAGTCAACAAAAGCAAAAATTATTCCGAGGTCATTTGATAATATGTTAATTTAATTAAAAAGTCAAAGTTAAAAAAGTTTAGGAATTTTCTATTTCTTTTTACTTCATATTTTTTTTGTAAAAAAAAATTTAAAAAAATCATTCCTAAAATTTTTTTTTTTTTTTTTTTTTTTTTTTTTTGCACTTTATATTTTAGTTAAAAAATCACTTTCCAAATGAATTCTTAACTTTTTTTACTTTCCCACTAACAAAGGGTAACATTTTAGTATTTACAAATTTTATCATTTTTTTTAAATTATTTTTCCCAAAACAAATAAAAAAATATTACTAAAAGGACATCTGTCAAACCTCAACATGAAACAAAAAGCATGAAGAAGTTAATTAAAAAGTTGAATTATATATTTTTTAACTTACGTTTTTTTTATTATTATCTTTTAACTTACAATATTATGTTTGTTCGTAATAATTGGAGAATTCATTGTTTGTGGTTGCTTGACTTACAATATTATTATTTTTAAAGATTTCTTCACAAGTATTTTATTTTTTGAATATATCTTAAATTAGATGCATCTAAAACATAAAATAAAATAATTCATTCACTAAAAATTTTAAAAAAAAATACAAATTAAAACTCAGTTGTGATACAACCACTTGCTTTATACAATAACATGGTTGTGGTCGCCTAGAGCATCAACCATTTTGGTACCCCCATGGCATCTAAGCAATTTCTTTTTTACAAGGAAATGATATAATTTTAACCTTGCAAACTACTTTCTATTTGCAATGATATTAATCCCTTGGACAAAAACATCTTGAAAAATAATGTTTTGTCCACTGTGTTAGATCAATTGTTCCAACTCATCAATTTACTGCATTCCAACTCAATAATATATACTGCATTCCACCATGGCAGCCTAGATGGAAAGTCAACAAAATCCATTTTCAGAAAATAAAACTGCTCAAAAGAAAAAGAAAAAAGAAAAAAGAAAAAAGTAATTCCAAGATTTTAATCAACGGATCAGACGAGATTACTCAAGAGATCGATCCAAGGCTCTGAGCATTAGTTTCTACCTTATTTGGTGCAACTTCTAACAAGTTGAAACTGATAATCAGAAAATAAAAACTAAAAACACCTATCGCCTTACTTTTCAATAATCAGCTACTTTTCAACTTATTTAAACTATTCTACCTCATAAATAAAAAATAAAAATCTGTGAGTAGGTAAACTGTAGCAACGAGGACATGTCAAATGTCTACTGGATATATAAATAGCGCAATCAACAGTTCAGAGTGTAAATATATGAAAACGCCACTTTTGCTTTTGAAAAACAAAAAATATAGAAAATTATACATGTGTAAATAATTTATAAAAAAAAAAAATTAAAAGAAAAACGATGTTCATGGGACGCAAAACAAGAGACTTGTTTCGAAACTATTACCAACCTGCACGCAACGAAATGCTGGAACAAGGTCAGCAGCAGCAATGCTTGTAAGAGTTCACTGTGAAGAGTTCTGTATACTGATCCTACAAAATTTTTAATCCACCTCAACGAAAGAATTTCCGATGGTTCGTCACCCTGCCTCAACAACAATAAGCTCTCTGAAATAATTTTTCATCCAGTAAGAAGTTTGCTGGAGAGACCGAAGCAAACCCTAAAAGCAAAATCGAGCCAGAAAGAATCAGGTAGTATCTGTACATCTCTATTCCTAATCATTAGGATCCATTTCTTCATCCTGCTCCAACGAGGAAGTTGTGCTAGTCGAGCTGCCTTGATCATCTAATTCCAGTTGTCCTTCCAAATCATTCTCATCTTCTTGTGATTCAGTCTCGTTAACATGGTTCTTTTGATAGCTAAGTGTTGTGAGACTCTGCTCCATCGATTTGGGGCACTCATCTTCACCTTCATATAACAACTGATGATTAATGCCCTTGGTTGAACCTGGAACGTCAGGAATCTCAGAAGTTTCAAGAATTCCACACGAGCATTCGGGAAATGGGTGAGAAAGGAATGACTTTGGTTTTGATAGACGAAATTCCCTCTTAAGGCCCTCCTCGCCCAGGCCTTTGTTCAGATGTTCTCGCACTGAGAGTGTCCAATTTCGCTTTGGATAATAAAGATTGTCTCTGGTAATATTGAAGAGCTCAGCAAGATATTTCCTGCTTGTAAGACCACTATGTATAAGAATAAAGATGAAAAACAAAAACATTGCCCAAATAATAGAAGAAAAAAACAACAAATATGTTGATGAAGAAACGGAACAGAAACACACAGCTACTAAGCGTTTTCATTTGGGGAAATTCATTTTACCTTCCAAATTATCCCTAAAAAATCAATTGTAACATTATCCATTTTATTATATCAATTTTTGCACCTGAACTATTTGAATTGGGATCAATTTGACCCGTCACCACGTGTGATCTACAATCAGATGGAATTTGCTGACTTGGCCCCTCAAACTCTTCTTTGGAGGGAAAAATGTTTGCTGCCTATGCACAAACCTTACGTGTGAGACACAACCACAAGTGGGTTATATTAGGGTTCTTCAATAGGGTTCCAAATCGAAATTAGGTGGGACTCTTAAGAGTCCATTTTCCCTTCGTCAGCAGATTTTGTCTAATTATAGACAAGTGACGGCAGGGATCAAATTCATCCCAATTTGAATAGTTCAGGTATAAAATTAATATAAATTGATTTTTGAGGAATGGTTAACTTTCTTTTTTCATTTTGTTATTCTTTCAACCATTCTATTAGCTTCGGGGCAAGGACAATAAATACCAATATGTACCATTATGAATACAGATAATAATCTATGCACTGTGAGAAAATTTATTACATCCAAGACCAATAAACAAAAAGAGTGCTTTTACCTGTCAGGCCGATATGTTCTCGAAGATGCCATCTCATAAAGCCGATGCCCCATGACTAAACTTGAAAAATCTGGCCATCCACTCCCATCATTGTTGAAACCAGGAAAGAAAGAATCGGCTCCCACCGAAACAATATAATCAAGAGCAGCCCATAACAACCGATGTGCTTTCCTCCTCAATTCAATGGGTGAAGGGTCTGGTTCAGAATCCTTTTCTGAAACCCAACCATACCAACCTTCCTTTTCATGTTGATAAATAGGTCTGTCGGGAGGTGGAGGAAGAGGCCGGGGACGAGGGCCAGCTTTGTCCCATTCTTCTTTTAGTTGGTCCACAGTCTTGGCAGGAGGAAACTGGAAAGTGTCCTCTGGAAGTGGAGTTTCAGGTCCAACTAAATTGGTTAGCTCTTGCTTGCTGCATAAAGAAGTACGATCCACTAAGTTGGTGTACATGGCACGTAAAGGTATCAAAACCCTTTGACCACCAAACGTTTCAGAACCTGCCAAGTATATTCTTGTTTTCGGAGGGTAACCCATGGCCCGGAGGAGGAGTCCTACCTACAAATATGAAGAAACAAGAAGATAAGACTCGTAAATTTAGATTAACGATATAAATACATAATGACTGCTCATAGCTTAATTGCCTATGCTGCAATAATCCAAGTAGATCCTTGTTAAAAGTCCAGTCAATGACACCAATTATGTAATTAGTATTTGTTGCACCTAGCAATATCTTTTGTTACCAGCCTCATGTATCAATTAAGTGATCGGAATGAAAACAGAGTATAAAAAAAAGTGACTGAATAGTTTCATAAACTGAATAAAATTAAACCGGTATTTGTGTAGTCAATGCATAAGTGTAGAAACCTCTCTCACATCTGAGTTTCCATTATTTGTAGTTATTATCAAACCTAAGATGCATCATGCATGACATTAAAACATGTCCAATGGCCATGGTTTTGTCCTCAGCATATAAACAACTAGGCTATTGTCTATGAAAGATGAACATTCTTCACTAAGCTTGAAAATAATAAGCACTCCTGTATGACTCGCAACAAAATAAGTTCTAATTCTCCTACTTTCCATAATATAATATCTTGTTAGTTGAGTGCAAAAAATGCATAAAACTTAGACACTAATACTAATGTAATAATTTTTTTAATACATTAAGAACACGAATGTGATAATAATAGAGAGGTTCCATGAAACCCAAGGTGTTGGCCTAGTGGCAAGGCCTTGAGTCTTGGGGGTGTGCTCCCTCCAAGGTTCAAGATCGAAACCTCTTAGGTGCTAACAATTCCTTAGGGCCATCGGATTGGGGGAAAACCCTTGAATTAACTGTGGTGTACTCACGGGAAACTCCTTGTCAAGGGCATGTAGACCCTTGGGGATTAGTCGGGCTTTGATCCGGACTCCCCGGGGCCAATCCAAAAAAAATAATAGAGAGGTTTCATGGAAAACCATCAGATTATTCAATTTGGAAAGCAGCACACAAGCAATAGTGAAATTATATTCAATATCGACAAAGTTAGCAAGAACAAATGAATCCATAATCAGTTCAATGCATTGCTGGATGGGGGAATCTGGAATACTGAAATAGATATTTACAGAAAAGTAACCATATGACTAGACATACCTCTTGAGGCATGAGGGGGCATGAGCCATTCCCTTTTCGGACATGTGAATCAACACTCAGTTCTTCGTTTACAATTCCTTGTTTAATCAGCTGTGCTCGTCGGTATTGTATAAGTTCAGTGTGAACATCCTGAGAAAATATACAAAAAAAACACAGTCAGACATGAAAAAATCAGAATATAGTACATTAGTAACAAGCAAGCAAATTTGAATATTCATTGCCTCATATTGGGTCAAATTAAGTAAAACAACCATGATTCATAGTTTTGCACTAGCAAACTCTTTAGACATAGAGATACACATGACCTACTACAAGCTGTAGATATTAAAGATTTCCTTTTGTTAACTTTAACATCATAAAATTCATGCTTTATATAATGCAGTGTGAATTGCAAAAACTATTTTTCTTTCACTGATGTATTGTGTATCTGTTGTTGACGTTGAGGAAATCTACTAACCAGTAAATTTTCAGTTCTCAGAATTGAATATGCAATTACATTTGGAGACTACAGAAATGATCCATCCGGTTACACAATTTGAGGAAACTCAAACAAAGCAACTAAAGACAGTATGAGAGTCGAAGATAACTTTAAAAAATAAAATGAATATAATCTTTTATTCTATGTATGAATCAATTATTATATTATAAGGAAACATATTCATATCACCACTAAAATTAAACAACAATCAAGAAAGTTATTATATAGTTACAATATACATGAATATGAATGCAAAGGCCACCAAATAGGCCAGAAAAAAAGTTAAAAGACAAATGCTGTACTACCTACAAAAATAAATAAATAAAATCAACAGGATTCACCACAAAGATAGCCACTATGCAATGTTTAAGGTTTAAATATTAATTTCCCCAAAAAATTGTCCACCTAATTAATCAGTGAATTCTTAAACCCTTAGTGGTAAAGGGGTGAGAGACGAGAAATGAAGGTGGAGATGAACCACACAGCTTTAATTGTATCTACCAACATTGAACTCATGCAAAACAATATACACTTGGATCATCTTGCCTGTAATCTTTACTGTCCCAAGTCCCAACATATTGGCAAATCCATCAAAGTAGCTACTGATTGAAAAACAAAAGTAACTGCTAAAAGAACACAATAATGAGGTGATTTCAACACTAAATTTGAGAAGCCATAAATATTTCTTTCATGATGATGCTCAATTACATAATCTCATTCTAATAGGTTATCTTGATATTGCAATATGATTTGTGTTGCAACAACCAGGCCATAATCAAATAGACAACATAATAGAAGTAAGTTTTGGTAACTAACCTGAAAAAGCTCAGCACAGCCATGATATGCCAAGGTATCCCTCACAAGGCCAGGATGGAAAGCAAGGTAAGGTTGGCCTGAAGCTCGTAACCTGAGGAGGAAAGTCAATTCCATAATAACCACTACATCATAAGACACTGTTAAAAGGAGAACAGAACATAGCAGTTCAATTAAAGAGCAACAATTCTTTCCACCTCAATTTAAACAAACTAACAGAAAATATCGTGTACCGATTGAATCTGGCACCAAACATCCTGAATAGGAAAAACTATTACGAGTGTGCCCTCGAATGATGTCCCTGAGATCCCCTGATTTAGGTACAAGCTTGCATGTATGGATGCAAGCTAGTAGTCAATAAATAGAGGACCATCTAAGAATCCACCCCTAAAATCCCAAAACCAAAGTTTTAACATGAGTAAACCGCATGCACTCTCGCCAACAAAAAAAAAAAAGTGTCCTTTGACTACATTTGAATGTTGCTAGGCTTAAAATTGATTCAAACAGCTGTTAGAGAAAAGTCAACCGTTAGACCTACAAGCTGACTAAAATCTGCAATCATCTTTTTAATAATGCATTATTAAGGTATTTTTTTCTTATTTTATTTGAGTAAGACTACCTTAAGCTAGGAAAACTAAATTGGGATGTGCAGTGTTTTCATGCCTCGCCTATTCTAACTGAATGAACACTTACTACCTACAAGCGCACTCATCGTAGACTGACTCTCCACATGAGTCCCTAAAATGACTTGGTTCATATATTCATTTATTGGCATCTTTCAATTTTAGAGCCAAATTTATCCTTCAACATGAATTTTAGAAAGCTTTGCACTAGAGACCAAAAAAAAAAACTCGCCAACAAAAAAAAAAAAGTGTCCTTTGACTACATTTGAATGTTGCTAGGCTTAAAATTGATTCAAACAGCTGTTAGAGAAAAGTCAACAGTCAGACCTACAAGCTGACTAAAATCTGCAATCATCTTTTTAATAATGCATTATTAAGGTATTTTTTTCTTATTTTGAGTAAGACTACCTTAAGCTAGGAAAACTAAATTGGGATGTGCAGTGTTTTCACGCCTCGCCTATTCTAACCGAATGAACACTTACTACCTACAAGTGCACTCATCGTAGACTGACTCTCCACGAGTCCCTAAAATGACTTGGTTCATATATTCATTTATTGACATCTTTCAATTTTAGAGCCAAATTTATCCTTCAACATTAATTTTAGAAAGCTTTGCACTAGAGACCAAAAAAAAAAAGTTGTTCAGCTGAAAGAACTTAGAGACTAAATTAAAAATCAGGAATAGTTAAGTTTTGCATCGAAAACAAGGGATTATAAATATTTAGATGTGCCTAACAAATAAGTTATGCAATCAGAATCTCTTACCTTTCCACCATTAGGCGCCCAAGTGCGAGAATTTCTGGGCGGAAATGAAGTGCATGAAATGACACCCGACATCTGAGCCTCTGATACTCGGCCAAGCTAGAGGGAAGGATAGGCTAGGAAGAAAACAAATACAATTTGGAGGGATCATTATCCTTGTTGAGGGAGATATCGTGACCACAGTCACGATCAAGGATAAAAGAAAACAAAACAGAACACCCCCACTAGAAAGTTATTACATAAAAAAAATTTAGAAAATACTGCAAAGGCTTAAATTTCCAAAATCCAAATCAGCTAAACCACCAAACTATGACAACATTAAACAACAATTACCAATTAAACTACTACCATCCCAGCAATCATAGTTCACCATCAGCACATCTAACACAAGTTTTTTTTTTTTTTTTTGGTAAGACACAAGAGTCTATTGCACCACACAGTATAAACTAAATGCTAACAAGACGTAAAAGATATATGTATGAATAAATATACATAAATCTGATGAGTAATACACAGGCCTATGCCCCCACCAAAACTTGAATCTTTTTATCTCACCCTTTGGCAGTGGTAGGAGATAGCAGAAATGCCACTGAAGCTAACAAACATGCCTAATGTATGTACAATCTGTACACATACATACATACATACACAAACAAACATAAGCTACTCAGTATTTGTTCGGATGTTTGAATGCACATATAGTTGCATGTATGTTAAAACACAACGGGAGCATTTTTAGGGTAATTTTGGTTAACTTGGCATGTATAGTGTGTTATCTCAAAATACGGAGTACCCTGCCAAAGTTAACTTGCTTCACTAAGAAAAACTTCAAAATAACTCTGCAGGCCCTTCAAACTGAGACCAAAATTGTGGTAATGTCACTAGCAAAGCCCCTTTGGTTGTTTCAATGAATGATTTTACAAATCAGCTACCTAAATGGCTGCTTTGGTTACACACAAGCAACTAAAGAGCCCTGACAATAACATTACCTGATTGTTGTGCAATTGCGATTGATGGTGCTTTTGTGAGCGTCAGAACGAGAAAGAAACAGAGAAAGAGAAGAGGCAGCATAAAAAAAACAGGAGACACCATTAAAGAAAACAAAAGACAATGTACCTGCAGGCAGCTTCCATCATGAAGCACTAATCCAACAACCCTCACTTCTTTCAACTTTGGCAGGACCTCTTTAATGTAAAAAGTTGGAGAAGTTGAACTTTTGGGCTTGAAGATTGGAAACTGTTTCCGTTTCCTACGCTCCTTCAACTTTGGAGGCAGCTCCTTTATAATGATTACATCATTCTTTAGACCTGCTATGAACTGGTCCTCATCATAGAGATATGAAAAAGTCCTGAACTTGGAACTGCACATCATTTTGAGAAGAAAGAGAATTTGATAATTAGGCATGCAAAAAATAGCATTTTGACTAGAAAGTTAATTCGATAGTTTAGGCATTCAAAAAACATGATTCAATTCTAGCTCATTCTGCTTTTGATTAAAAGTGTGTGTGTGTTGGGGGGGGGGGGGGCGGGGAAAAAAAAAAAAAAACTGATGCCTTTCGAACGAGTACTTTCTTGAATCTCTGGAATGACAAGTGTTGCATTTAGAAGCCTGGAGATGGCAACAAGATCACAAATCTACAAATTGGCAAACGCATTACAAACTTTCAGTTAGAACTAAAAACTGATATAGAATACTTAAAAAATCTTTACAATGACTATGAACATACCGAGCTTCGAATCTTCTCAAATCCACCAAAAACTTTGGCATGTATGAAACCATTATTCTCCTCAGTTGGAACTGCAACATGGATGTAAAGGGTTAAGGTTCAAAACAGTACAACTGAAGCTTAAAAGTAAGGCCAACCCCACCCCCTTGAAGAAAAAGGGTAGGGAAGGGAAGCAACTTAACATAGCAAGGATCTATGAACGATTATTTGACAAATTTTGAAGGGAAAAAGTAAATAGAGTCCTAATCGAATTCACCACTGTTTGCAGTCTAGGTTGATGTGGGTAGACTGGGGCCCTCTGGTAATGACGGTAGGCACTGAGATAATGCGAGACCATCGGTGGTAGAGAGGAAGAGAGTTGCATATGGAAGGGAGGGAAGACACTTTTTATAGGAGAGTTGGCCCAAGGGGGCAGCTCACTCTCGAGAGTCATGCTTCCATTCTTGAGCAAAGTGATGGTGAGGCAAGAGGAGGTACTAAGGGTGGGTGAGGTGCTTGAAGGGAGGTGAGGCGCCTAAGGGAGGCGAGGCCATCAGCAGGGGCCCATGCCTTGTGAAGTGGAGTCAGTCCCCTTTTAGCTGATGACAAGGCATGTCATGAATGGCCCAAATACCTACATTTAGCCCTCAACATGGTTACTCTCATGAACTGAATGAGAGAGAGTGTGCCTATCTCTTGATCATAGAAACTACTTGATGAAACCAATGCCATAATGATGGTGATGTTTTGTGCTTTGACAGCAACTCTAGCCCCCATATTTGTTGTTGAGAGAAGAGGCAGAGAAGGCATATGAGATAGGATCTGTGATCAAGAATGAGTAAAAAGTTACTTTTTGTTTGATAACTCGGTATCTAGCCCATTAGACCGACCAATCCGAGGGACCAGTTCCACCGTCTACTAGCGGGGTACCCAATTAAAGACAAGGCAAAGTCCAGTATGGACTGCCTCCAAGAAATTGTTTGCACCTAGGAGATTTCAAACAGGAGACCTTGGGGGAAGCACACCCCCAAACCCCAGGCCTTGACCACCCGGCCCACCCCTTCAGGTCCAGGAATTCAACCCTTTGCTGTTGAGGCAAGCGAAGGAGGCTTTGTCTCGTAATTGAACCAGCTTGTGTTGGCTTCAAACTTTATCTAAAAAGGAAGCATATGTAGATAAGCCCCTGAAAAGGAACATAAGCATGGCTTGTCCCAATCCATGGAGGGGGACCATGCATATAGCTCAACCTTAGCGGGCAGCAAAAGTATGGCTCCACCCTCATACACATATGGGAACAAAGTGAGATAGCTCAACTCCTGAGTGGAGTGATATTATGGCTCCACCCTTATTTATGAAGGGGAGCAAAGCAAAAAAATGGCTCAACCCTTGAGGGGGAGTATAAGATAGCTTGACCCTAAGGGAAGCAGTATAGCTCTGCCCTCATTCATGGAGGGAAGCGAAGTGAGATAGGTTGACCCCTTAGGTTAGCATGTATGGCTCCATCCGCATCTATTTAGGTGAGCATAGCCAAAAGATGGCTCGAGCCTTAAGGGAAGCATAGCCAAAGAATGCAAGACTTTATATATTTACTCTTTTTTTTTTTGGTAGTAGACCAAATATATATTACAAAGAAGCATTAAAAGAGGATGTTTCCCATGAATAAAACGGTTAAACTATGATAACCTTAGTCACTCTAATAAAAGAGGTCTGTGCAATCAAAATGAATTGAAGTCCAATAGATTCTTAGACGTGAAGATAATCAACAAAATTGACAAATGGCTGAGATTTAGTGGGGTTTTTCCCTAAATTTGAAAAAGACACTTCGTAATTTTTTTTTTTTTTAAAGAGGGGCGAGGTTGTGTGGGGACATGAGTGCAAGCTAGTGATTTGGAATCGAAAAAAATTAGCACAATTCATTAGAAGTGAATATAAAATGCGATGCAATACAAGTGAGCTTGTCAATGTGTATGTAAAAAGGGCTCAAAAGGAGGGAAGGTTTTGGGGAAAGTGAGCTTGTCAATGTGTATGTAAAAAGGGCTCAAAAGGAGGGAAGGTTTTGGGGAAGGAAAATAATTTTTAAGCATCCAATTCTATCAATTCTTAAATGACCCTGATTATTTTTATAAACAAGGGCATGAGCTTAGACATTACCAGGATATCTACTTCTAGGATTGGCATATGGCTGCAAGGACTCTAGAGATTTCACATTTTTCCACAGCTTACTATGTCCAGTGCCCTGTAGCGATTAGAAGATGAGCATAAGCAAAAGAAATTGAATTAGGATAAAAGGTATCATTAAAAATTTTAAAATAAATAAATAATAAGCAAAATTAATATCTAGTTTACCATTCGCCCCTCGACATTTAGATTTAAATCCTCATTAAACCCAGTCATTGCACTGTACAGAACTTGATCGGCACTTGAATACTTGGCAAGAAGTAAATGAACGAGCAAAGAGAGAAAAGACAAAACAAGTCCTCCTAGTGCAGCCCATTTTATTTTGGATTTGAACATCATCTTGATTTACTCCAAGGCATTCCAGAAAGCTAAATGCATAATTTCTGCGGCATTAAGATATAGAGCCCATGCAGCCAACGTAAAACTGAAAATGCAATATAAATGAGATGAGATTCCAAGCAATAACATCTTGTATGAATATGATCTTTCTCTAAAGCAAAATCTCACTAATTCACAGGATTCAATATGGTATTGCTTAATAAGAGCCAGAAGAAGAAATCTTCACTTATCTCAACTTACAAAGTGAATTGTCAGAAAGAGCCAAGTCTTGTCTCTTGACAAAAAACAAAGCATACTCATTGTCCAAGAATTGAACATAAAATAACAACGAATAAATAAAAATCAAAAGGAAAAGAAAAAGGTAATCCAAACAGATTTTCTAAATGTCAGCTACATGGTCAAGGCTAAGATCATGTAGGATTTTAGTCAAGAAATAAAGCAATTATAGTTTAGGTTATTACTCAACTCATGGTAGAAACTCTGGCCTAAAATGAAAAGAAATTAAGCATCCATGTTCTTGCTGCACACAGTTTGAATCATGTTTAGAGATACATGCAAACTCCCAAAAGAAGTTAGTAGAAAAAAAAGAATGTTCCCCTTTCCCCCGAAAGCAAAGACTACCACCGATTCTTCTTCACTTTAACAATTACTGATTATATTTAGTTAGTTTTAAGGTCAATAATTACAAAGACATCCCTCAACTATCACTGATTATCATTTTACCCCCTCAACTTCAAAACTGTATATAGAGATCCTCGACTATAAAAAAAAGACCATACAAATGCACCCCTTTTGGAGAGTGAAAAGTGATATCACTTTACCCCGTCAACTTCAAAACTATATATAGATCCCTCAACTATAAAAAACCATACAAATTCATGCCTTCTTGAGGGCAAAACCGTTGCAATTTTGCAGTTGAATGGGTATAAATGCATGTTTTGAAGTTTATCAAATAAATAAATATATGTTTTGAAATTGATGGGGTAAAGTGATATTCTTTTGATAGTTATAGGGGTGTCCACAAAAGTAACCTGTAGTTTTGTACAAAATAGCATCAAGAAAATACCTTTTCAAGTTATAAACATTGAACAAGCAATCATACATTTATTTCTTTTCTCATTAGAGAGAGTGTTGAGAGAAAAGACATTTACCTACATATAGCTCTTCAGTTATTTTTATTTTGATAAGCAACTTTCTAGGCAAATTCTACCATCAGAATGCCTTCCTTTATTCACAATTCCTGACATGAAAAATATTTGAGTACCTTCATAATTCAGACTTGTATCAAGTTAAGGCTTGCATGCAGTGGTTGTTATTTGAAGCATGAAAATACCTAAACTAAGAGAGAGAAAAAATTCAATGAAACAGTTATACCATGTGACTTTGGTGATATGGTATAACAAACCAATCATATTGTGCCATATATGTGCATCCGACCCCACTATGCCAATGTGTCAGTTAGCAGAATTGAGTTAGATGAAATGGTTTCCTATGTGGTGTTTTATGATTGATTGATGATACCACGTCACACGTGTCAACAATGAAGTAGTCTCACCATTACATTGAAGTTTACTGCTAAGCTAGAGGAATTTTGGAATCTAAATCCAATATTGTGTGTATGTAAAATGCAACACCCTGCTCAATCTCCCCTGACCCCCAAAAATCAACTTTAAAAAAAAATGACAGTAATCAATTCAACCTAAAGAATTGACCTTTTTTAGGTCTGTCAGCATTTGATTTCTATTGTTCCATCATCTCTCATACTAGTTTCACTCCATTTACTGTCCATTTGAATCAAATTCAGTCCTTTTATATCAAAACCCACAAAATAAAAATCTCATGCGCATCCACCTATTCAAAAAGATAAAAAAGAAAAAAAAAAAACGTTAATTACCTCGTAATTCATGGGGCAAAGAAAAGCATCGTTTTTCCCAATCAATATGGGATCAAATCCTGAAACCTACCACCATAATTGAAGATACAATTCAATAAAATAGAAACAAATGGAGAGAAAGATTGAGTATTTTATATAAACAAATATACATGTATAAGAGGGCGATGAGATCAATCCGATCTTACCGTCGACGCAATATAGCATCTGAATCGGAGCGAAGCTAGACAGAGAGATAGAGAGATTCCGGAGCGGTGAGAATTCAAAAATCGATGGTGATTGATTTGGTATGTATGATGAGTGAGGAGTGTGTGCGTAGCTGAGTCGGTAGTGAAGTATGAACGTTAATTCGGAGTTTGGGGAGTTGGGATTTTGGGACTGTAGATCGATCACAACTCTTGTATACAGAGAGAGAGCGAGAGAGAGAGAGAGAGAGAGTAGTGTGGGGGGGGGGGGGGGGGGGGGGGGGGTCGCGTTTCGTTTCAAATCAACCCTCATCCCATGAGCCGCGACTTCACGTGAGCTTGCTTGCTTGCCCTTCCACCCAAACAAGTTGTGTTGGCTCCTTTTCGCCAAATTACACTTTCAGCAATGGTAGACAGCTTGAATTTTTGTGACCCGCACGGTTTAAATGTCCTAAAATAACGTAAAATAATGTTATTTTAAAATATTTGAGTTAGACCATCTCCAATGATTTATCAAAACTGATATTAAATTTAAATTTTGATAAAAAAATTACTGTTCACAGCTCTAACGGTGGTATCAAATGAATATCAAATTGAGATTTCATTAAAAAATTCATCAAACTGACGACGTAATACTGATTTCACCAAAACACTGTTGGTGACCGTTGCCGGGTCGACCTGCTGGTTGACCGGCTGGTTGACCAGTAAAAGATTTAAACAGTTCAGGAAAAAAGTTCAAACCGTTTAAAAAAAAAAAAAATTTTGCCTAACCGGTCAACCGGCCGGTCGTCCCGAAAAAAGTTCAAAAAATTCAAAAAAACGTTAAGACAATTCGCAAAAAAAAAAAAAAAAAAAAAAAAAAGAAGCAAAAAAAAAAAAAAAATTGCCTAACCAGTCAACCGGCTGGTCAACCACCCGGTTGTCCCGGGATAGATTTGGTGAAAGGTGAACCGTTGGAGTGAGTGGTATCAAATTTGGTGAAATGGATCATTTTTTACTCAGATTTAGTAAAAAATTTGAGCCACCGTTAGAGATGCTCTTACTCGAATCATATATATTCAGATTATCAAGTATTTTTTTTACACTTTACCTCTTTAGCTATCACATTTTTTTTATTTTATCTCTTCAAATTAAAAATTAATATAATATCTCATTCATGTTTTAAAAATTTTCAACTTAACTCTTATATCTCTATTACATATACTTTTTTTCGTCAATTTTATTAACAGAATAGAGACATAAGGAGGTATTGTATCAATTTTTAATTTCAAAGGTAAAGTAAAAAAATAGTGATAATTAAAGGGGTAAAGTGTAATTTGCCCTTTTCTTTTTAAATCTGCATTTGGATTAAAAGATTTAAATTTAAAATAATAACAATAACAATTAAAGTATATAAAAAATATTAATAAATATAATTTGGGAATAAAAAGTTATAGAAATACAAAAAGAATTGTTTGATTTTAAAGATAGTCTCTTCATATGGTTATTATTATCAGATTAATTTGATTTTTATATATATAATGATTTAAATGAGACCCATAAGATGAATAATTCAAATTGTCAAGATGAACCTGATGGAGACCCATAGTTGGCCAAACTAGACTTCTCCAATGAGAGATGAATTGTTGCCTAAATTTTATGTTTTTAAGGGTAAATTACACGTTGCCCTTTTATTTTTAGCTAATTTTTCGCTTTGGTTCTTAAATTCTTTTTTCCCAATTTGACATTTCTTGTTTCAAGTTCTACATATTTTTTTCCTAAAGCTGAATCATGTTCAAAATTAGATCAAAAATATTACATTATCTGTCACATAATATTAAAAAAAAAATGTATTATTATATTAGCATTTGGGTTTGTGGCAAAAATTTGAGTTATATATAATAAAAAAAAATTAATATCACGCGAATGTCAATGTATCATGTTTTATGTAATTTTGAATATAAGTTAATTTTTAGAGTAAATTAGAAAAAATTTGAAATGTGGAGGATCAAAGTAAAAAAAATTAATTAATTAATTAAAAGCTAAAGTGATAAAATGATATAAAGTATAGAAGGAACAAATATTTCTTAAACTTATCAATTGAAAATTGGAATCCACTAATAGTAAGTCACCTAAATCCTTCCATCCACCTCATTGATATCTAAATGTGAGTTGTCAAATAATATAATATTAAGATTGTTTTGAAAAGTTAGTTAAAAGTTTATTTTTTGATTTTTTTGAAAAACATATAAAAAAAATAAAAAAATAATATAATCCAAAATAAATTAAAAACTGATTTTTACCTTTTAACTAGAGTTGTCAAATTGAGCCTAAGACACAATCCTCAGTACATATTAAAATCAAATTTGTCCATTCTAAATTCATCAATTCAAATAGTAATTTAAGAGTAGTGCTAAATGGTGGTTCTGATTTGCTGAAGTAGGCATGACTTCTCACCAAAATCCAAATTTTCAACCAAGAGCTTGACACTAAAAAGTTTGTTTATTGCTCCTGCAAGTTACCATCTCATAATTCTTGTTAGAAACTTAGAAAGGGAAACAAATGGCATCTTCAGAATATTAAGTTGCTGTTTGGTAATATTTATATTTTTAATTTTTTGTTTATATTTATAAAATTTTTAAAAATTTAAATAAAAACTTATTTGGTAAAATTTTTTATTTATAAATCAGTGGTCTCAGTTTATAAATTGGCCAAAAAATGAAAACACAAAAAATGTGTTTCCATTTTGAGTTTTCAATTTTTTTTTTTTTACCACCCAACACTAACCACCACCCGCCACCATTTTCCATCACCGTCTTCCGCCACCACCCATCCCCCATCGCCACCACCTCTACCACCACCCACCTGCCAACACCTGTCACACACCCACCACTCACCTGCCACCCACACGCCACCACCACCCACCCCTCGCTACACTACCCACTTGCCATCCACCACCACCTGCCACTACCATCACCGCCCGCCACCACCACCGCCACCTATCTGCCACCACCATCCACCACCTATCTGCCACCACCACTACACCTGCTTCCACCAGCCACCCATCACCACCAGCCACCTGCCACTCACTCGCCACTATTACCCAACACCACCACCACCCACTACCATCACCCATCACCTACCCGCCACCACCACCACCACCACCACGCACCACCTACCACCACCACCACCACCCACTCGCTACCACCTACCACCCGCCACCGTCACCCACCCACCGCCACCACCACACCCGCCACCATCCGCCAACACCAACCACCACCCGCCACCACCACCACCACCCACTCGCTACCACCCACCACCCGCCACCGTCACCCATCTACCCACATCACACCCAGCTACCACCACCCACCGTCATCCGCCACCCAACTCGCTACCACCCACTACCCGCCACTATCACACACCCACCCACCACACACCGCCACCACACCGGGCCATCCGCCACCCACCTGCCACCATACCCACGCCCCCGCCACCGCCACCGCACACCACCCACCACCCGCCACCGTCACCCACCAACCCATCACCACCACTAACCCGCCACCACCCACCACCACCAGTTACCCACCACCCACCGTCACCACCTTCCACCACCGTCTTCGCCGCCACTTGCCACTACTTGCCATTTCTCACTCTTTTTTATATTTTTAAATTTTTTTAAACATTTTGTCAATTACCAAACACGTTTGTAATTTATGTTTTTCTAAAAATAAATAAAAAATAAACAAAAACTAATTTATAAAATTTTTGTAAATATAAACTGAAAACGTAAACGTTACTAAACACACCCTAGTGATTTGTGATTTCAAGCATTATATATAACCAAAAAGTCAAGCTATGATTCAACCTTCAATCATTAGTATTATTATTATTTGTTTTTTTGATTGCTTCAGCCTTGAACTATGGATCCACCATCAACATTGAGAAGTTTACAAAACAAGCCCCAAGATTACGTTAGGCCAAATCTTTAATTTATGATTGAATTAAAATTTATAATTTAACAAAAAACAGACCCTTCTAACTCTTTCTGCTCTAGCTAGCATCTTCTTTGTCATCACCACCCTTCCCAACTCTCTCCCACTCTCTCCAGCCGCTAGACACCCTTAAAAAAAAACAGACCCTCCTATTTGGATATACTTTTTTATTGGAGTGTGGGATCTAATTAGTTTATTAAAGAATTTAATTTGATTTGATATTGCTTATAATATATTTTTAATATATTATATCTAACATTTGAAGGCTTAATGGATATTTAATATTTTGTTTAGTAACAATTAAGGTTTGAATAAAAATCCTAAAATTAACAATATATATATATATATATTGTTTGTTGCTCTTCCCCAAATTATGCGGCTGCTACAAAAATTGTTCCTTTTTCAGTGGCTTTTGTTCTTGGGCTAGAAGCTTGTTGTGTGAGGACTTTTGGATTAATTTCATCTTTGTGGAGGTTAAATTCAAAAGGTTTATTTCGACTGTACTTAGCAGCGTTAGTGAAAGTTATTTTGATTCAGTTTTGGATTTTTTACAACTCTGTTTTGAATATTTTTATTTGTCTATTTGGTGAGGTCTTTCCTCTTGTTTATTTTTGATTATTTGAAATTCACCTAAGGGTGGTTTGTGAGACCATTTGTATCTCATTTGTAATCGTTTGGAAGCTTTTTGGTTGATTGTGGAATCGAATTTTGATCCCGTAGATGTACTTTACATTAAGGGAACCACATAAAATTCTTGTGTTGCTTTTGATTTAATTTTTTCGCATTAGTTTTTATTCCTATTGATTGATTTACTTGTGAGAAATCATATAATTTCTCTAACAACTGGTATCAGAACTTACAGTTTATTTGAATTTATTTATTTGTGTAAATCAATGAAAGAGAATGTGGGTCATATGTCTAGCTTTAATAGAAGCAATTGAGTAACTTGAAAACTAAAATGGAGGACCTATTATTTTGTAAAGATTTGTATGTACCCATTGAGAGTGATAGTGGCAAACCCGAGGGTATAAAAGATGATAAATGGAAGAGACTTAATCGAAAAGCCATTGGTATTATCCGTCAATTGATTGATGACAGTGTGGTTCATCGTGTTGCTACTGAAACTTCGACACGTGATTTATAGAAAAAAAATTAGAAAGTCTTTATAATAGAAAATCAGCCACAAATAAAGTTTTTATATTTCGTAAGTTAGTTAATTTAAAATATAAAGATAGCAGTTCCATTCCGAAACATTGGAATGAAATAAAGAGTATTGTTAACCAACTTACTTCTATAAAAATTGTTTTT